CACTGTGGCTCAAGTGGTAGAGTGCTAGCCTTGAGCTGAAGAGCTGAGGGACAGTGCCCAGGCCCAGAGTTCAGGCCCCACGACCGGACCTCCCCCCCATAAAAACAACAACAACAGAGGGCCTAAATGAACTATGTAACTTGTGGGTAGGGACAAGAGGGGGGGAATTAAGGAAGAGGTGACACTGTCCAAGAAGCATTATTCTCATAACCTGAATTATGGAACTGTAACCCTTCTGTACAACTCATTAATGATAATTTAAAAAACAACACGAACAACAAAGAGCCTATCCAGTTAATACAGGTTCCCTCCCCTATTCTCTCCCATTCCCCAGCCACCGTACCTAATCCCATCTTATTAAAATTAACAAACTTTAGAACAATGGAAATACATTTTAGTATTCAAATCTTGCATTTCTGAAGGACACCTGAGAAAACAGTTAAGACCCATCAAAGACTCTGCTACATACAATTTAAGGTTTTGTGTTCTTCCTTGAGCTTTCAAAAATAAAAGTCCTCTGGGTGTTGATGGCTCACGCCTGTAATCCTAACTACTCAGGAGGCTGAGATCTGAGGATCACGGTTCAAAGCCAGCCTGGGCAAGAAAGTCCCTGAGACTCATATTTCCAATAAACCACTAGAAAACTAGAAGTGGTGCTGTGGCTCAAGCACTAGAGTGAGTGCTCACCTTCAGAGTTCAAGCCCCATGACTGACAAAAAAGTAAAATAGTAAATTTAAAAAAATTAAAAGTCCTTGCTCTAGTCTTGAGTCATGTTCTCTTCCTTCATGGATAAGACCCACCCCAAATATCAAGAATGTAAAGAGTGACCAATGAAGGCTCCAACTGCACTGGATACTTTATTACCTCTGTCAAACTGTCACTTCTGCCATCTTTCAGCACTACTCAATGATACCCTGTTCTTTAAAAAAGACAAAGGCTCTCACCTAGGTAGCTTAGGTTCCCCCCTAAACTCAAAAACCTCCAGTCTTCCATTGAAGGCATGCTCTACCACGCCCTGTTTAGCTTTCCTTTTTAACAGAGCCCAGAAGCTTACTGACCAATCAATTCATCAGTGAAGAAGTGTTAGTCCTAGAGTAAAAGCCACCAGTGAATATGCACACCCTCACTACCCCTTTCTAGTCCAAGTTATGCAGGAAAGAGCCAACTGCTGTAATCGTGGACCACAGCAGAAGGCAAAAACAGAAATAAGGCCACTCGCCATTCAGTCTTTTTGTCTGGAGCACTTCCTGGATTTTTCATTGGCATTTAATACCAAGACACAAGACTCATTTTTCATTAAAGATGCAAGACTTTCACTTTGCCCAGTTTCAAATGGTGTAATTGATCTGCATTGTCTTCTTAAATAACCCAACTGGTGAAGGACACTGCAGCTTTAAATATTTCAGGGCTAGCTAGCAAATAAGACTCCATGGCAATATGGCTCTGAAGGTCGTGTCCTATTGTCTGTTTTCTTTAGGGGGGGTGGGGTGGGGAGTCTAAATCCTTCTTTTAGGTAACATGGGAATGGCCCCCAGAACTTCCACTCTTCCATCTCAGTCCCTGGGAGTTCCGGGTGTTTATTGGAACCTAACACTCATAATTTTCCCAGCAGGAGCAATATGCTGATTGTTATTAATGATTCTAGCACCTTCGTGAGACATCAACACATGTGTTCACATTAGTTTAATTGAGCATATGCAACTATTTGAAATAGCACCACTCAAGGGCTGTTAACCTCTTTAAGAGTAAAGCCTGGGTGGTTTGGGTGTGGATGGCTTTCAGGCGGCACCCTAAGCTTAGGATTGCATAACCTGAAATGTGTGGCTGCTTAAAATGATAGGAATCTCAGCCTACTCATCCTGGGACTATGCCGGAACCTTGCCATACACTTTGCAGCTTTGTCAAAGAAGATCAAAATGAGGAACTCACAAGCACAATGAAAGAGAAAATAGAAGAAAAAGGCCCTTTCCTACCCCGACAGGCACATCAACACAGTTCCCCAAGCTGTCACAAGGTTACCCAAACCTCGTTCCCTTCCAACACCCCCCCCCCCCCGATGGAACGGCCTCCAGTGAACTGGTGGCTTTGGAGGGAACTGGGCACTGCTGCTCTTTGAAATAAAAACGGAGGAACGATGAAAAGGATGGGAATAAGGGACAGAAGAAGCCGGATAGGAGGAAGGCGTGTGCAGGTGCACCAGGGCATTACCTGAAATGGCAACAGATTGTTACCATTATCGGTCCGGAAAGCGTTATCCTCCATCCAGGACTTGGAGGTGAGCGGGGCCGCACGAGGGAACTTGGGGGGCGCGATCACATTGCTGGAGAAGGGCTTTTTGAGCGGCGAGATGGGGTTAAGCGGGGAGGGTACCCCCACGCCCACGCCCACGCCCACACCCACCGCCCGGCGAGGGTCCCGGCCCGCCTGCAGGCCGCCCCACGGGTTGGACGGAGCGCTCCAGGCGGCATTCACGCTTTGGTGCGTGCTCCAGCTGGACGAAGCGGACGAGGCGGCGGCCG